TCCATATATCTTATGGAATTATATGACATCTTACATTCATGCAGTCCATCCACATTAATGATTTATGGATTCTGTATATGTGGATTTGCCTACTCAGTAAAAATATTGTAACCCCCAAATCAGTACTCACACTGCTTTTGCAGTTGTTAGCAGACATGCACAGGGCAGCACAGATTTGAAATTGTCCAGCATACACTCCCAGGTAAGGTCCATCAAGGCAATGCTCTGCTGGCTCGTTTCTGTGCTCAAACTGTTAATGTGTCTTTCTCACAGTCTTGTTGGTGCCACAGTTTTGTGCTTTCCACGGGTGATTTTTCCTGTTTGAAATGACGCCTAAAGTGTTGTCTAGAGTTCCTGTGAGCAGGAAGGCTGTACTGTGTCTTATGAAGAAAATATATGTGCAGATAAACTTCGTTCTGGCATGAGTTATAGTGCTCTGGCTGTGACTTCATTGCTAATGAATCAACAATTCATTAAATAAGGTGTCTTTAAACAGAAACACACAGAAAACAATGTTATATATTGATTGGTTGGTGAAGATGTTGTGTCCAGAGGCTCAAAGACACCTAACCCTGCCTTTCCTTTAGTAATAGTTTTGAAGAAGTGAAGTTGTTCAGTCATGTCCGACTCTTTGTGACCCCATGGACTATAGCCTACCAGGCTCCTCTGTCCATGGGATTTTCCAGGCAAGAGTACTGGAGTGGGTTGCCATTTCCTTCTTCAGAGGATCTTCCCGACCCAGGGATCAAACCCTCCCTCATTGTAGGCAGATGCTTTACTGTCTGAGCCACCAGGGAAATCCCACAGTAATAGTTTAGTACTTGCCAATTCAGTGTTTCTGGTGACTGTATAGAACGTAACTCCAGTGAGTAACAAGAATTGAGGTACATATGTCTTTCTGGAGCAGAGGACCATAATACTCATTAGATTCTCCATGGGAACTGTGACCCGCCTAAAGCCAAAGGATCTTTGTTACTCTTCAGAAGTTACTCCCATTCTAGTATTCCTGGACTACTAGGCCTGCTATGTAGAATGGAGCTCGTGTGCTGATACTGAAGTGTTAAAGAAGGAGAGCAACACAGAGATCTGGAAACAAGAGCCTCACATCTCCACCTTGCCACTTACTGAGTAATCTCACCATTACTGGATTTTGTAGTCAGATAGAGCTGGTTTGAATCCTAATTTTTCAGTTTACTAGTTATGTGATCCTGGGCAAAAATGTTTAATCTCTTTGAGTTTCAGTTTCCTTCTCTGTCAAGTGGATACAATAATACCTATTACTGTATTGGAGGGTTATTTTAACGTTTAGAGGATGAGTTTAAAGAACCATGTCAAGTCCCTAGGAAAAGTCAAAACCATTATTATAAATGTCATTATGGTATACCCTCAATAGATCCTTGTTCGTTTCTCTCCTTTTCTCCTTCCTACTTGAGAATGGTATGAGATCCATGTTCTTTTTTTTGTCCAACTTGGTTTTAGTTATTTATTTATTATTATTGGGCTTCTCTGGTGGCTCAAATGGTAAAGAATCTACCTGCAATGCAGGAGACCTGAGTGTGATCCCTAGGTCGGGAAAATTCCCTGGAGAAGGAAATGGCAACCCACTCCACTATTCTTGCCTGTGAAATTCCATGGACGGAGGAGCCTGGGGGGCTACAGTCCACGGGGTTGCGAAGAGTCGGACATGGCTGAGCAGCAGGGCACACGTTATTATTTTGCGGCTGCACTGGGTCTTTGCGGCTTCTGTGAGGGCTTTCTCTGGTTGTGGTGAGCAGAGGCTGCTCTCCAGTTACAATATGTGGGCTTCACATCGTGGTGGCTTCTCTTGTTGAGGAGCACAGCCTCTAGACTTGTGGGACTCACATCTGTAGAAAGTGGGCTCGGTAGTTGTGGCACATGGGCTTAGCTGCTCCATGGCATGTGGGATCTTTCCAGACAAGGGAATGAAACCCATGTCTCCTGCATTGATAGGCAGATTCTTACTCCCTGCACCACCAGGGAACTTCTCATCCATTTTCTAATACCTGGATGAATTAGTAAATTAACTCTGGAATTGCCTCTTTCCTGCAGTAACTAGTGGAGAAAACAGGACTTTCTCTCAGGGCCCTGGTTTGCTTCCTATTGATTTCCCTGGTCCAGAGTTCCACTGCAGTGATGATGGATCCCCATCTCCTGGTCAGGATCCCCAACTCCTGACCAAGAGTGGAGGGCTCATGCTTAAGTGATCTCCCAGGTACCTGCCTGTCTTCCAAAGGGAAGATGGGGTGACTAGCAGTTCAGAGACCTATGAATGACGTCTTAATGCCCTCTTCACATCCACCTGAAGGGGACTCTTAGGATTTCACTTTTCTAATTTGAGAAACTTAAACTCCATTTCTCTTCAAGAATATCTTAGGTTAATCACTTCCCTTAGCATTTCAAAATTCTCCTGATTTATCTTGAATATGTAAGACAACGGAAGTATGGTGACACATCGTTGAAGAACGAGGTCTTCTACATTAATCAATTTTCCAGGTGAAACTGGTCCCTTGCTGTAATAATTTCATATAAATGGTCATAAGATACATCACACACTTTTTTGATGTCTTGTAGTGAAAGTGAAACTTGCTCAGTGTGTCTGACTCTTTACGACCCCATGGTCTATACAGTCCATGGAATTCTCCTGGCCAGAATACTGGAGTGGGCAGCCCTTCCCTTCTCCAGGGGATCTTCCCCAACCCAGGGACTGAACCCAGGTCTCCTGCATTGCAGGCAGATTCATTACCAGCTGAGTCGCCAGGGAAGCCCGAAAGTGAAAGTGTGAAAGTGAAGTTGCTCAGTCGTGTCCGACTCTTTGTGACCCCATGGGCTGGAGCCTGCCAGGCTCCTCTGTCCATGGGATTTTCCAGGAAAGAATACTGGCGTGGTTTGCCATTTCCTTCTCCAGGGGATCTTCCTGGCCCAGGGATTGAACCTGGGTCTCACACAGTGCAGGCAGACTCTTTACCTTCTGAGCCAACAGGGAAGCCCTTTTGATGTCTTATATGTGCTTAAATAAAGTAGAAATTTAAATTTTTCTTGATTACTTATGAGTCAACTGCTATACTATGTTATAGTACATAGCAACTCCCTCAGAGGCTGTTAATGCTAGTAGATGAATCATGTACATATATTAATAACCCCAGTTTTTTGTTTTTTAAAAAATTGTTGGATTTTTGTTACTAGGTGACATAAGTAGGTGAGGAATGCCAATGTAGTTTACATTCTATGATTGAGTTATGGTATAAATGATAAAGTAAGTCCTGATTATTTACTTGCCAATGTAATCCCAACCATTTTCATCCATATATGCTTACTAAGTATATTGACATTATCATATTATTTATGAATATAAAGTACTGTAGCATTATGGTAATACATTTGATATTTATATTTAATATGCTAATATGACATAGCTGAGGGCTTCCCAGGTGGCACTGGTGGTAAAAAATCTGCCTACAAATGCAGGAGATGCAGGAGACATTGGTTCAATCCCCTGGCTCAGGAAGATCCCCTGGAGGAGGGCATGGCAGCCCACTCCAATATTCTTGCCTGGAGCATCCCCTGGACAGAGGAGCCTGGTGGGCTATTCTTCATAGGGTTGCAGAGTCAGACATGACTGAAGTGACTTAGCATGCATGCATGCATAGCATATTTGAATGGATGAAAATATATTTAAGACTTTACTACATATTTTCCCCTCTTTCCTATGAATTCTTGCCCTAGATTAGCCAATGGAATAGGCCTAGGCTATTTTGCAACCCAGGATAAAGCTGTATTGAGGAGTTTTGACTCCCTGAGTTGGTGTCCATATTTCACTCTGAATTGGATGTTTTAGTCACAATTATGTTTTCTCAGAGTGCAGTGTTTCTATACCAGTTCCTTCTATTTCTAGGTCTCTGAAGTTGACCCTTAGGCACCAGCATCTTCTGTTTAGAGATGATATTATACCCAAGGGCTCATAGAATGACCTCACTCCTTTTAGCTCTGGCAAAATTAACCTTCTGTCTCCAACATAATCTCACTCATAAAATAACAACAGCCAGAATGTAAATAACAACAACAGCGGGCTTACTCTCCAGTATATCTCACCCTGGATGGAAATGACTCAACCCAAAGCCCCCATTTGACTTACTTTGGCACCAGCTGAGTAAAGCTGGGCCTGGCAGGCAAGCTTCCAGTTTCTCTCTGTTCACAACAGCCAAAATGGCCGTGTCTGCATCATTTGAAAACTACACAGTCAGTGAAATAGAGACAAAGAAGTGTGGTTGCTGTGAAATAAAATGACTGTCACAAAAGGAGAGATCAAATGTGAGAGAAGGTGCATTTAATGTTAAAAAACACAACTGGGTGTCATTCTATTTCAAAGCAACCTAAGTGGAGAGTGCAAATATAATGCATGATAATGAGGGTGCCCAATTTTGGAAAGTGCTTTTTAAATTGCTGCAGCAGAATGCTATCTGAAGTCTCTTAGGAAAAAGCAAAATCTCATCAGGGACCTTTTCAAGCATCATTTTCTCCTGTTTTAAATGATCTCACGTGAACTGGCTGTTAGTTGACTTGGCATAACATTCTATTATTCATTACTTTTGACCGCTTGCAGAAGGAACAAAAGGCCTGTTATTAGTGATTTGCCAATTGTTGGGAGACTTAATCTTGGTACTTACAGAGCTCTTTTCCTCATGTTTATTTTGTTGTATGAAGCTGTATGATCTAAGGGTATTCATGGCCTCCTCATGCTCAGCTCAGATAATCTCTTTTCAATTGATTAGTTTGGAAGAAGTGATTGACTCTGGATTCCAGGCCTCTGAGCATATTGAAGCCACCTTTTCTCCTCATGCAGGAGATTCTGGTTTTGGGGGTTAAGAAGACTTTTCCTTTTATTTGCGTACAGATTCCTTTCTTCCATTGGGTGCAAACACAACCTTCTATGTATACAGTGAAGAGGACTGCATTATTAACAAGGCTATTTGTGACCTACTGAGCACTTCGCTGCTTGCTGGACATGCTGTGTCATATTTGGTTCATGCTATGGAATTGCTTTTCAAAAGTCCCCAAATTTCCCTCTAAGGGGTTGTAGGCCTATTGGGTAAGTAGAAGGCAAGTAACATAAGACGTAAGTTGCTACATAAGTGCACAGGAGGAAGAAATCTGGTTCATGACACAATAGGATAAGTTCAGAAAGAAATGCCACGTCAAAGAGAATAATTTTAACATGAGGAGATTATAAGGGACTGTAGGATGGGGTTTATAGATGGCATAAAGAACATGAGTAAAGTAGCAGAAAAATAGAACATACTTCTCCAGAAGCCTACATATCAGAAGCAACCAAATACAAAGTATCCTAAAGCATTTTGATTGATTTTCTTTATAATTATGCACATTGCCATTGTTCATATGATGGTAGGGTTTGTGGACTAGGAAGAACTACTGACCTGATGAATTCTTATAGTTCTTAAGCAATGGCTTTGACCCTAACATACTACCACAGTAATGTCATAGCCGTATTTCATGGTACCTGCTCGTTGTTATTGTGCTTGGTCATTTGTCTGATTTCTAACAACCTTTTTGAAACACTGAATTATGATTATGCATATCCTTCTTTATTTACATATTGTATATAGTAAAAAGATTGATAGACTACACACAGAATATTTTGGATTTGAATCAAGTCTTTTAGTTTAAATCATGTTATTTTGGAGTTCAGATTTCTATATTCTAGAGGTATCATTATTTCTGAACAGATTGGAGATGAAAAAAAGTCTTCCACTTTAAAAAAACACAGGCTGAGTTGTAAAAGAAAACAACACAAGAAAAACCAGAATGTTCTCCCTTGCGGCTATATTTGAGAGTATTTGTAGGGTAATGCAGTAGGTACTTGGGTATCAGGATCAGATTAAATTTGCAATGAAAAATAAAACACGTAAAAAATTAACTTTAGAAAGGAAAGTTTATAAGGAATGTATAAGAAACAGCATGTCTTTCAGCTATCTTTCCTCTGGGCATGAATGTTTTCAAGACTAGCTTATAGAGTGAAATGATTTTTATGTGAATTTGAACAGCTCAGCATTGTTTGAGTTTAAATGATCTGTTTTTCTCTTTATTGAAGAGAAGGAAGTCGGGGATTAGAGGATGGAGAGGGGAAGGGATGGGGGCACTGAGGTCCTAGTTTATCACTGTCTAATGTGGAGCTTCCATTTTGGACAATTTCATGTCAATCTCCATCTGTCTCTTTCCAGCTCTCTGGCTTTGAGCAGGCTTCTGAAATTCCTTGCAACTCTATTTCCTCATCTGCAAAGTGGAGACAAGATGCCTGTGTGATAGCGTTGTTGTGATATATTACATATGTACTAATGTACTAAAGTGCATAGCTCTGTGTCCAGTATATATTACCTGCTCACTGTAGGTATTCATCACATCACATCATGTTTTTGAGCAAGACATTTTGACTTATGCCTCTTACTAATCCTCATCACAGTCCTGTGAATATTATTATGACTCTCAATTTACAGATACAGATCTTGAAACTTAAGGAACTAAAGTGGTCTTTACAAGTTTAAACAACTCTAAGGATAATAGCCAGGAGTTCAACTTAGATCTGACCGTTTCAAGCCTGAAAAAGAACCTTTTGCATTAAATTCAATCATTTCCTGCCCACACCTCTTCTCTTCTTTCCACCTCCTTTCCTTCTTTCTGTAGTTCTGCCATCTTCAAGGGAGAATCTTTTTCTTAAATGTTCCTAATGATAACATACAAATCAAATGGAATGAAATAATATTTTAATCCCAGTAAATGTAAATAAATATGACATCATTATATCTCCAAATGCCATTAATTCCCTTCAAAAGTATATCCCAATCTTTCTTATACTCAACTAATGCATATTGAATATAGAGATATGAGAAAACATAAATAAATAATAAAATTGTCTGAATACTCAGTATTCAAAGACAACAGAAAACATTTTAGTACATGTCTTCAATTTATACCTATCCATATACTATCTTTTCATCTCATAGCAGTATCACACTACAGTTTGAATTATAATAGGCTGTTTTTACTTAATGATCATTTAAAAATATCTTTTGAAATTGACAAATGTACATTGCCATAATCATGCTGTCAGCTACATAGCATTCCACTGTATAAAAGTACATGATTAAAATAATCCTTGTTACTGGATACTTCTGTTTTTCTTTTCTAATTTTCTACTTTTATAAACTGTAGCCTCTTGAATATACATTTCTGTATTCCTGGCCAATTACATCCTTAGGATAATTCTCTAGAAGTGGAACATATGGGTTGGTGTTTATACAGTTCTCTGACTCTTAATGTGTATTGCCAAATTCCCTCCCTTAGAGAAAGGACCAATTTATACTCCTTCCAGCAATGTATGAGAATGCCCATTTCTACATGCTCACACTAATGGTTATCATGCCTTTTAATCTTTGAGAACGCCATTAGACAAAAAAAATGTGACTTTATTGCTTTTTTTTGCATTCCAGTGTCTGTCCATTCTATAATAATCACATTTCTAAGAATGCTATCTAAACAAATTGTAAACTTCATTAGGTCAAAGACAAAGTCTCCATATCCTTAAATATTTATATTCACCATCCTTCTAAAGTAGAATAAATCCCTAAAGAGGCATTTGAGACACTACTTGGCAGAAAACCATGGATTAACAGTATATAACCTTATTAAGAACATCCTTGAATTTTATTTTAAACCTGAAGCTCATTGTTCTCAGAGCTCATTTGCTAAGGTAACCTTGTCCTGAGAATGACCAACTGTCCCCTAGGCGGAATCTCAAAAGAGAGGAAAGAAGGTTATGAAGCTAAACCTTAGCATCACCTGACTTTGTGTCCAGGTGGGATTTCAGTCTCCTTTAGTCGTTGCCCTGCTGTGGTCAATGACAAAGTGGCCAGGGGTATAATACCAATATCTCCTTAAGCCTCAGTGGTAAAGGAGATTAGGCTGTGCAAAATATGGGCTTCCCAGGTAGCCCAGTGGTAAAACATACACCTGCCAAGGCAGGAGCTGTGGGTTTGATCTCTGGGTTGGGAAGATCCCCTGGAGTGGAAATGGGCAGCCTGCTCCAGTACTTTAGCCTGGGAAATTTCACGGACAGAGGAGCCTGGCAGGCTATGGTCATGGGTTTGCAGAGGTGAACACGATTGAACATGCATACAGGCGTGTAAAATATACTTGATGGGTTTGTTTTGGGGAAATATTAAATAGGATTGATAGTCTGGCCTTTCATGATGTGTCTCCATTCAATAAAAAAGAAAACTAAATTGCTCAACAAAACAGAGCTACTGCTTTATTTTGAACAAAATTCTTATATTTCCCCGTGTGAATAAAAGCACAAGAGTAGTATTGTCTTTTCATATACTCTAGTTCAGTTTGGCGAATGATTATGCTGTGCAATTGGATTATAACATTTACACACACACACCTCACTAGGTGCCAGAAAAATAATGGACAGGTCCCTCTAAGAGGATAATGTCTTTAGGATTCTTAAACAATCACCCTTAATTTGTAAACTGAGCAAGTTTAAGCTTGTTTTTGCTTAAACATGGTATTTCTTTTTTTTTTTTTCATTTATTTTTATTAGTTGGAGGCTACTTACTTTACAATATTGTAGTGGTTTTTGTCATACATTGACATGAATCAGTCATGGACTTACATGTATTTCCCATCCCGGTCCCCCCTCCCATCTCCCTCTCTACCTGATCCCTCTGGGTCTTCTCAGTGTACCAGGCCCGAGCACTTGTCTCATGCATCCAACCTGGGCTGGTGATCTGTTTCACCCTAGATAATATACATGTTTCAATGCTGTTCTCTTGAAACATCCCACCCTCGCCTTCTCCCAGAGTCCACAAGTCTGTTCTATACATCTGAGTCTCTTTTTCTGTTTTGCATATAGGGTTATCGTTACCATCTTTCTAAATTCCATATATATGTGTTAGTATACTGTAATGGTCTTTATCTTTCTGGCTTACTTCGCTCTGTATAATGGGCTCCAGTTTCATCCATCTCATTAGAACTGATTCAAATGAATTCTTTTTAATGGCTGAGTAATATTCCATGGTGTATATGTACCACAGCTTCCTCATCCATTCGTCTGCTGATGGGCATCTAGGTTGCTTCCATGTCCTGGCTATTATAAACAGTGCTGCGATGAACATTGGGGTGCACGTGTCTCTTTCAGATCTGGTTTCCTTGGTGTGTATGCCCAGAAGTGGGATTGCTGGGTCATATGGCAGTTCTATTTCCAGCTTTTTAAGAAATCTCCACACTGTTTTCCATAGTGGCTGTACTAATTTGCATTCCCACCAACAGTGTAAGAGGGTTCCCTTTTCTCCACACCCTCTCCAGCATTTATTGCTTGTAGACTTTTGGATAGCAGCCATCCTGACTGGCGTGTAATGGTACCTCATTGTGGTTTTGATTTGCATTTCTCTGATAATGAGTGATGTTGAGCATCTTTTCATGTGTTTGTTAGCCATCTGTATGTCTTCCTTGGAGAAATGTCTGTTGAGTTCTTTGGCCCATTTTTTGATTGGGTCATTTATTTTTCTGGAGTTGAGCTGGAGGAGTTGCTTGTATATTTTTGAGATTAATCCTTTGTCTGTTGCTTCATTTGCTATTATTTTCTCCCAATCTGAGGGCTGTCTTTTCACCTTGCTTATAGTTTCCTTTGTTGTGCAAAAGCTTTTAAGTTTCATTAGGTCCCATTTGTTTATTTTTGCTTTTGTTTCTAAAATTCTGGGATGTGGGTCATAGAGGATCCTGCTGTGAAATATGTCGGAGAGTTAAACATGGTATTTCCACTTAATTTGACCCTTCCTTCATATTATTTAAAACATCATATTTCAAATTTCATACCAAAAACTAATTTCTACTTGAATCATCGGCACTTTACTTATTAAGAGACACGTTTAAAGAGACTTTCTTAGAATAGGAACTTTCATTTAGCTAAATGTGAGGAAGCAAGGATAGTCAGCTCAAATCTGTGATTATAGCTGGGAATCTCACATGATCTAAGATCATTCCTTGACTAAACTGGATACATTTTAATGATTGGTCAGACCAGGTTCAAGAGAAAGGTACTTCTGTGTTATTAAAAGAAAACTTGACTACTTCTCTGTTGGGCACATCATAGAATCCGTAATACAGTTTATTTTGTTCTCGGCTCACAGGGTACTGGATATTGATATTCCACAGTGCTGCTCATGCTGTAAAGGTTGAAAGCACAGTGAAATTCGGTCGACAATCTTTGGTACCGTGTTCTGGAAATGAGGTAGCTAAAGTCTATGAATTACCCAAAAAGAATCACAATGTGAGTGCAATGATAGATGTTAGTGAGTTTTTCCCCATAAAGGCACTTCTTTCCAGTGCCCCCTGTTTGTGTTCAAAATGAACTAAAAGAGCTCTACAGTATGTTCACTGTGATGGAATAAAGCATTATAAAACACATAGAGTTTATGAAGGAACAAAGTATCACAAAACTGTGGAGGCATGCCCCAGATAATCTGAGAAAGGAATGGAAGGAATAATATAAGCCTGTATTTGCATGAGCCACAGGAGACTTGGGTTCAGTCCCTGGGTCGGGAAGATCCTCTGGAGAAGGAAATGGTAACCTGCTCCAGTATTCTTGCTGGGATAACCCCATGAACAGGGGAGTCTGGTGGGTTACAGTCCATTGGGTCACAAAGAGTTGGACATGACTAAAGCGACCAAGACATTCATGCTTATGTGGTGCTTATTATTACGTGCCAGATACTGTTTTTAGTGCTTTATTAGGTATTAATTCTTTCAACCCTCCAGATAGCCCTGTGAGGTCATTTATTTTATCCAAGAGACCAGTAAGACACAGAGAGGTTAAATATCTTAACATAGGTCACAGAGCTAGTAAATGGCAGAACTGTAATATGGATTTTCTTCTGATTTAAGATGGTATGCCTAGATGGCCAGGTGAAAAAGGAGCTCTGCCAAGCAAGCCCCAAGGAGATGTGCAGCCTCCACAGGATGTTTTATTATTGGCTTCTGAGGAAGTGGTAAGTGTGCGCATATCATCATACATTTGAATGCTTTCTTAAGAACTAATGTGACAGCTTGACGTTTAGGGGAGAAACTCTGTTGGTTTGTAAGGTCTGAGTCTACTGAATCTACCTGTGAAACCTGGGTTAAAACGTGTCATTTTCTGGGACTCAGTTTCCTTTATGTAAAACAAAGGGATGGATGCATATGCAAAAAGAGATTCTACAGTTCTTTGATGAGACAGGCACTTAAACACATTGTTATGGTCTGATGAGAAGTCTTTATGTCTACAGAATCTCACAGAAGACATAGCAGCTGTAGTGTTCTCTGCCATGGAGTGGATTCAATGAAAGGGCTTGATTGTATTCTGAGATACTTCAGCATCCTTGCCTTCTCCAAATTCTTCACCTATGAAACAGGCTAAGCTAGAGAGGAACATGGCCATTTTAGGTCAGAACAGAGTGGAGCAAGCCCTTCTTGTTTTTCTTGGGGATAAGCTTTAGCGATGGGGGGAGGGTATTGATACTGGCAACAGACACACATTCTTATCTGAAATTCAGATCAAATGATTCCACCCTTGAGAGCCTTCCCCGACAATGGTCTTTCCCGCATCATGAATCTGCCAACAGAGGCTAGTGGTTAATTTCAATCAGCCAGCTTCGCCGGTGTTGCTGTTCCCATTTTAGATTTACAAAGCCATTCCTGATGAAGACAATAAAAGCGTCTTGTGTCGCGTTATGCTTGACACTTTATCAAAGCACACAGACAGAGGTTTGTTCTTAACCATATATAAAGTGGGGCAAGCTCGCAAATCACGCTTTGATATTGCACGGTGGAAACAGCAAGGTTAAAAGGTAAGTCGGTGGTGTAACAATATTGATTAATTGATGTAGGAAAGGTCAGGTTAATCTTTATCTTGCTTGAAAGACTCTAGTTCTACATGGAAGATGTGTTGAAATGTTGAAATGGTTCCTGTGTAAAAAGATTTTTAAAAAAAAAATGGAGCCCTAATGCAAAGACAATGGAAGAAATCCCATCAAGCAATCACTCAGGTAAAAAGGAATAAAACAGGGACTGGAAGGGGGATGTTATTCCAATTTCTGTGTATTTTGAATAGGCTTTCTTGGAAATACTTTCACCAATGAAGCAATTGTAAGAGAAGTAAGGCAGTGGTGTTAGATGGCAGCCTTACTCCTGCCACCAAGAAGACCAGAAAAGAGAGCCTCATGCTCCTCTCTCCAGCACGGCTGAAGTCTGCTGAAGCTAAAGACCTAACTTGTCTGACCTTCAGGTCCTGCCCAGGTTAAAAACTGTTGCATGATGTGTCTCACAAGAAGGCTTCCGTATCCCATGGCGTGATGGGAAGAGGATGAGGAAAAGGGATTTATTCCCTCCTCACCTGGAGATACACAGACAATTAAGCACAGCTTGCCCAACCTTACTTCTGAACCAAAAGCAAGAATGAGGTTTCAGAGCTAAAGGTTAGAATTCAGAGAAAACAGAGACAAATGAGGAAGAACCATGGCTAAACCTGTGTAAGTATGGAGGGAGAAAAAAAAAAATCTAGGGACCATGAGAATAGGATGCAGATGCTGAATTACAGCACTGTTGAATGAAAAGAAGGGCCAGGGGTTGTTAGGGAGAGGATGGAAATGGGAGAGAATGCTGGAATTTTTCATGATCAAACCAAAAATGATGGTCAGTAAGTGTCTGAATCTGAACAGGCTAGCCTATGATGTAGTTTCAAGCTATACCCAGAAACCTCAGAGGCTTATTACTATAAGTTTAGATTTGGCCCTGGGTGATGCTTTCCGCTTCTCACAGTTACAGCATTTGGAACATTACCATAGCAATGGGGGGATGCCTGAGAATTTTTTTCCAGTTTTATTGAAAAATAATTGACATACATCACTATATGTTGAAGGCAGACAGCATGATGGTTTGATTTACATATATTGTGAAATGATGACCACAATAGTTTCAGCTGACCTCCATTCTCACATGAGATGTTTTGAAGGACAGGTTTGGAAGGAGTTTATATCATCTTTCTTATATCCTACTCACTTGGATACAGTCACAAAACCTTCAGCTAACTGCACAGGAGACTGGGAAATATGCCATAAAAGGTTACTTTTCTAGGTTTACCTTTGAACACTAGGGATTAAGGTTTTCATAAAGAAAAGTTTCCAACATCCACATTGTTAAATATTGGAAGAAACTACCATGGGATGTTTAGAAAATTTTATTGCCATTCTCTCTGATACTCAAGGTAGGAGATAGGACTCATTTTTCTTTAAGTTCTATTCTTTGTATAATTTTATGCTTCTATAACTATGTAGGTTTTTTATATGCAAAGGAAAATATGAAAGGTACACTAGATATTTGGAATTATTTTTTATCAAACCCATTTAATTATCCTTTTACCCACTGACCATGGCTACTTCTTACAAGTAGGTAGGAAAACTTCTGTGTTAAGAAAGCACAGACACAGGAAGAAGGATGGAATCAGAAGTCAAATGTTCTTCATTCACAAATTATCCATTTTGTGTCTTAAGGCTAGCATTTTTAATAAACATTTAAAGGCATAAATCATAATTTGGTACAAATCTGTATGTAAAATAAAAGATCTAACCTTAGCATCATAGTCACTGGACTTCTGAAAGGTTGTATGACATATTTTGCATTTTTTGTGTTATTTGCTTCAATATATGTTAATAGATGATAATTATATGCTTTTCATTTGGACAACCCTTATCCAAAGATGATTTAATATTCGCACATCTAATGGGTTGCACACGGCTATTGATCATTTGGATCAGAGTTCAATTTGAACTGCTTGCTGGTTAGATTAGAAATTGTAATCATGGTAAAAGATAAATTACAAGGTCTCTGAAGATCAGTTCTGTTTTCAGAATTAGATGCACTTTTAGATTTGAAACATCAAATAGAAGAGGTTAGAGAAGATCTCTGATGGTGTCATTATGTGGATTTTCTAAGGAATATATCTAGAGATCCTTAGTACCTTTTCCCCATAGTATCAGGAATGTGAAATTTATAGGGAATGACATTTTATGACAATAAAGATGGTGAAAAAGATCCATAAATTATTTCTGAATTAGAAAAGGATGCTTATTTTGTAGATATAAATTTTGATGCAATAAATCAAATAAAATGCTCTACTTATTAAAGTTATGCAGTTTTTAACATACAGAGATTTTGTTTTGATTAGAGGACATCTAAATGAAGAGTAATTTAGGTGAAGCAGATTTCAATATTAAAAGGGTTTTATTTTTGCTTTAGTTTATTTTTTGTCTAATTAGAAATATATTCTTATTGTAGAAAGTTTGGAAAATATAGAAAACTCTATTTAAGAAACAAAGAACATTCACTATCCCATAACCACAATGTGTTGCTGTTAACATCTTGAGATATCTTGTTTCAGTTCTCTTAGAATTTTTAGTAAAATATTTCAAATATATCAGAAATAAATAAAATGATATAACAGAGCTACAGATACCTCTACCACCTCGATTTAAATATGTTATCTTTTAGCTATATTTACTTCAGATCTGTCTTGTTGACGAATACATATAGCTATAGATATATAGCTTCTTTTTCCTTTCTTCTTTTTCCAGCATTAACTTATTATTGTGATATTTCCATTTTATAATTTTACTATGTATCATCCATAAACAATATATAAAATAGTTTTTATGTTTAAAAAGTATGTGCATTATCATGATCTTCATCATCATCATCATCATGGTGAACACTTATTGTTAAGTGATTACTATCTTTCAGGCACTGTCCTAGAGCATATTATACACACTAACCTTAGAATGTGGGTGCTGTTACCTGCATTTTATAAGCAAGGAAACTGCGTTACAGACAGACTAATTAACTTGCTAAAGTTCATACCTCTACTCTTTTCTAACTTGCTTTTTTCATGCCACACTGTGTTTTTAGATTTACCCGTGTTGATACGTATGGCCCTAGTTCATTCATTTTAATTGCTGTATAGTATTTGATTATATGACTGTCATAGTTTATTCTTCTACTGATAGAACTGTGAATACCCTTTCTAGGTGTCCCTTCTGCATATCTGTGAGAGTTTCTGCAGGGGAGTTACATAGAAGTTATACACATGTTAGCTTCTACATGATTATAGAAACTTTTTTATGTTGATCTTATAGCTATCTGTTTGTTTTGCTAAATTTTGTTATTCTAGTTAACTGTATTTTTTCTATGCTGACAGTTATATTTTCCGTGAGTAGTGACAGTTTTTTCTTCTGTGGCAATTTAATACATTTCTTTCCTTCCTCCCTCCCCCCCCTTCCTCCCTTTCATCCTTCTTTCCTTCCTTTATTACTTCTTTCCTTCTCTTTATTCCTTTCCTTTTTCTCTTAATAGGCCCGATAATGCTTATCTGATTCCTAACTGTAAGGAGAATGCGTTAAGTGTGTGTGTTGCTGATTTGCAGTAAGTAACCCTTAGACTGAGGAAGCTTCCTCTATATTTAGTTTGCTAAGAGGTTGTTTAGATTTTACTGAATGCTTCTCTGTACCTTTTGAGAGGATTATATGGTTTTTTTCTTTTAATCTGTTAATGTGAAAATTATATTAGTACAATTCTAAATTTTAATAATCTGTGTATTCCTGGAACAATGTTTAGTCATGATGTATTACTTTTCATGATATTGTTGACACTGTTTTCTAACATTCCATTTAGGAGTTTTACATCTGTACGAAAAATGAGATTTGTCTATTATTTTCCTTTTATGAATTATCTTATACATTGTTGATATCAAGGTTTCTAGCTTTATAGTATTGAGTTGGGAACTCTGCTTTTTTTTTTTTTCCTTTGGAACAGTTTGCATAATATTAAAATTTTATGTTCCTTGAAGTTGTGGTAAAACTTGCCTATAAAACTACTATAGTAAGGTTTTGGATGAGATAATAATGGAGATTTTAAATTATTAATTCTATTTGTTATATGGTTATAATATTAGTAAGCTTTT